CTAATATACAATAGCAATTTTTTTTTGTTTTTTTCCACGTGTAGTATAGAAAATTATAATAAGATACATAATGCGGTTATAACAAAATATTGTGCGATTATTTTCATATAATTAAAATTAATATTTATTTATTTTTTAGAGAATACGAGGGAAGCGGCGCTTCCAACGCTTCTAATGACGGCACGCCACTGGAGTTTACAATAGTAAATGTAGTACTTAACCCTCAATATACTAATATTTTTAGATCTAAGTACGAGCCAGGTTTTGAAGGGCTTTAATCTCAACCATATGATTGTTTATAATGTGCTCGGGTCAATTTAATCCGTACCATACTCAGCACATTATCCGAAAAAAATAAACTACTAATATTTTGCAAAAAGAAAAAAACATTGTGTTCTTGTATTTTTATTATAGTTATAGTTTGTGGAAATTTTAGTTTCAACTTGTGAAAATATTTACAATGAAAAACTACATTTTGACCTTTGTCATGAACCACATTGGTGAAGTTAAAATCCTTGTAAGTGGTAATAAGGAACTAATAATTGTGGAAAATGGAAGAAGTGTTGAATTTCCCATCAAAAATAGACAAAGAAAATATGCCAGTAAGCGAAGAGACTGATAGAAGCCGTACCGTTAGGATGCGTACGAATTGTGCACTATCCATTATTCTGGATAACAAAAGAATGCAGTATTTTAACGAACAAGATTAGTTCATGTTGTTACAGATAACAATCTTAGACACTGAAGCCGTGAGCTGAAGAGGGATTGGAAAATTACCAATCCGAAATGCATTGTTAAATAGCCGAAATAAAGTGAACTGTTTATTAAGTCTCTATTAATTGCGGATAATTAAGAAAGACGTGATAAGTATCACTAATCTTACTTTACTTATAACTTTTTATATTATTAATTATTATCGAATGGCAAAAAGCTTAATTTTGAGGGTAGTGATAAGTTTTATAAAAAAAAAAAAATTGTAAAAGTTACGGAATATTTTTTCCTTTTTTGTTGAGTTTAAGAGGTCTCAAAACGTGGAAATTTGCAAAAGACTTTGAGGGTCAAGTTTGACACGATTCCAACACTTTCCCTTGTTATGTATATGTTACCGGCCAAACCCGATTTTAGGCCAAACTAGTTTGTCCTACGCGTGTCAGGATAAACTAGTTTAGCCTAGGACAATCTAGTTTGGCCTAAATACTTTAGGCTAAACTAGTTTGTCCTAGGCCGAACTGATTTATTCGTTGCAAGTGATAAAATAAACACTTAACGCGTGGATTCCCCTCTCGCGCCCCTTTCTATCGAGCTTTCGTTGTCTACGCTGCATTTTTACAAAATGGCTACTTTATCTGGGTCGTTGGTAACTAGTAATGTAAAATTAATCATATATTTCTGTCCGATATAATGATATATATCATAAAAACAGCACATCTCTGAACCTTAAAAGTACAATTCCAGAAGATTTTAATGCAAACACAAACGTTTTCGATCTACACAGGAGATTTTCCTCAGGTTACAGCGTTCTCAAATGGAATGCGGTAATGAAACATTCTTAAGATTATTTGAAAAACGTATAAACGAGAATTTAAAAAAAAATTTAAATATGAACTATGTGATATATGCTGCTAATAGCTGATAATCGAGAAATTTTATAGAAGGGGAACAATTATTGCCTGCGGGACACGTCATTATGTGGTATCGAAACAAATGAGCGAGATCGTTCTATACATATTT